ACAACAAGAAAGATTTGTTTCTCGCTCAGGCTGTAGCCTATTTCCACATTATCTTGTGGACCTACATTGCGAGAGCAGTCCCTGTGTGGCAAATTCTGGTCTCCTGGCAGAGGGAAGAAGAGCGAGTGATCACTGATTGGACGTTGGTCGATAGCTCTTCCTGCTGCCATTTTATTGGTTAATTGGTTCGAGCAGATCACCTGGCCACTCCTGAGTTCAGCAGGGTAGGAACGTATAATCCACCCACAGGGAGGATTCAAATGGCCATGCACTGGGGCTGGGAGTTGTAACCCTCCCACAGGGAACAATAATACAGTCTGCCACAACACTCAGGTTGTGGTAGGAAAAAAAGTGAAGAAAACCTGAGCTCTAAACCTTTGGTACCAGCCCCTCAGATGCCTCACTGACCCTTCCATTAGCTGTCTTTCCTCATCCATGCTCCCCACTGCTCAGCTTTCAGAAGGAGTAGTGACCCCTTTTTGCTGTTCTCTGAATCCCATTCCTGCTTATCTTAGTTAAAGCAGTGCTTTTAAAAATTATCCTCCCTTTTCCTAACATCCTCGGTTTTTCTCCCTTTCTACACTCACACTTCGAGACCCTGTGATATGAAGTTTCTCTCCTTATATATTCAGACATTCTTAGATCTGTCCTCTTTGCAAATCTCTGGCATGGCGCTCCTGACCCTAATTACATTCCATTTCCCTCCTTTCACTGTGAAATGCTCTAAACCTGTGCTCTATAAAGTATCAACATTTTCGGTTTTTCCTTAACCTCTGCAGTCAAATGCCATAGAATTCATGCCTCTATTTAAATTTCTGATGTTGAAGTGACCACTGCTTATCTTCCAGTGCATATTTTAATAGATTCGGTCAGCCTGAAATTCTTGTTCACCCAGCTTGAATTATATCACCTGAACCTGATTTTATCCTCTAAGTGCTTCTTTACCATTTTTTCACCAGTGTCTCTTCCTTCTCACTTTGCTGAAGTGTCCCTAAGGTTTTGTCTTCTACTATCTGTTCTTTTTCTATTGTATTTCCCTCAAAGGAATCAACCATTGTGCAAATACAAGCTTTTTATTCTACACTGGTGACTTTGAAGATATATTTATCTTCTCCAGATACATCTCCAATTCCTTTGTGTTACACTCACATTTTACTTGCTTACAGGACAGCTCATTCTCAGAGTGTCAGAAATTGAAAGCTTTATCTTTCTTTCTACATTAGAGCTTCCTCTCACCTTCCCTATTTTTATCAAGGTCTAGTCAGATTTTAGGCCTGTCTACCATGGAGTTCCTTTGAGTCTTTCCTCTGTGCCTTATCTCTTATTATTCTCACCTCAGTTCTTGCTTTTTTTTTTTTTTTAAAGATTTTATTGGGGAACTGGAGGAGGGAATAGCGTTGGGGAATCGGGGGAGGGAAACAGACAAGTTGCTGTCCTTTTGTTCTTCAGTCTAGTTGTGGAGGACGTCGCTTCACAAGGCCCATGTTGGTATTATCATTGTGCTCTTCCCAGGTGAGGCAGATCAGTCGCCGGCTTCTAGACTGCCGCTCACGGCGGCTGCTGGCCGCTCACGCTGGCTGCTGGCTACACACGGTAGCCCATGGCAACCCACCTGCCGTCGCTGGCGACTCATGGCAGCCCAGCTCCAGGATGAGCTGTTGTTCAGCATCTTAGCTGTATAGGGCAGTGTCACTGGCCCTCATATGTGGGATCCGAACCGGGGCCCTCTGGCGTCCCAAGCCAGCTCTTAACCAACGCGCCACTTGTCCGGCCCAGTTCTTGCTTTTTGTTTTCCTCGGTTCTCACTGATATCACCCAAATGGGGTTCCTATTATTGCATTCCTAAATTGCTCCAATTCTTAGGTAGAGTGTTGAATAAAAAAAAAAATATCATTTTAGGTGTTCCACCAAACATTAAAATATCCAGTTATTATTTACGTCACTACTATCCCCAAATTAGCAGAATGTATAAAATATCTTTTTAAGTTTCCTCTGACCCTGAATATTCCAAGACTCCATGAATTTCCTGAGACTAGAGGGACCAGTCTTTCAAATGACAAATGACAAGACCTCATGGAGTTTTTGATCCATTCATTAGTGGCTCTAGTTTTGGCTATCTTTACTTTTCTCTCTGATACTTACCAATAGTATTACAGCTAATAAACACTCCTGAGTCATTTAATACATCTGTGTCATTGCTACAGTGACTCTGTTCTTGGTTTAGGTTCTGATGCAGTACTTGGAGGATCTTCAAGGAAGGACTGTTCTATTCCCTTCAATGAGGTGCTGGGTCTAGTGAGCTCTATACTTCAGTTTCTGAAGTTACAGTCATTTTAGTTTAAAATTCGTGTTTTAGTTTCACATTCAGAACAAGCTTATAGACTTCTTCACATGTTCTGCCACACCCAACTCTCCCCTTAGTATTACCCTGTCATATACCAGTTCACTAGTTCAGATTCTCCTCCCCTCCCTCATGGTAATTTTCTTTTGTAGTGCTTTTATATCTTTTCCTGCTGGCTAGTGTCATTTGGGACCAGCCCAAACCATCACTGTAAGAGGTTCTTTATAATGTTTCACCACAAAGGGAAAGGTTGGAATTTTGATTCCTTTTTTGCAAGGAGGCAATTTGCCTCTATCCTTCCCAGCATCCTTGGGCATTGGAAGATGCAGCCTTTGCCGTGTTACATAAAAGTTCTTGTTATATAATTTCTCTCAGGATGTTTGCATCACTTAAAATTTCCTAAATGAAAACGCAGCTAGCAACTTCTCTTCTCTCTGCTATATCTACATCTCTACATCCATATTTATAAAAGTTGATCTACCCCATGGGAACTAATCTCTTAAAAGTTCTCCATAAAAGTAATAGTATTTCTTAGATGTGTAGTCAAATACCATAACTATTTTCTGTTTGAGCCCAGTTTTCACTTTATCCATGTGATGTTCCTTTACCACCAAGACAGCTATTTACTTTTTATCTCTTTCTTTCTGAAGTCATGGGGACTCTTATATCTGCTTCTCTCTTTGAGTCTGTTTAATTCCCACCCTGATGCTTTATCAGCTGTTTCATGTACATAGCTGAAAAAGGCCACCCCAAAATGGTAGTACCAGCTCTTGTTTTTAGATTTTTACAATGTAGTGTCCACATCTAGCTAACAGAAGTCTTTGAGTTTCAATTCTAAATCCTTAGGAAAGAGAATATTCTTGGACTAGATGGGACCTGGTATTTACCACTGTCCAATTAATTGTTTTCAACCAGCAGTTGGATCGTATAGAACAAATATGGCTTCCTACATCTGTCATTGTGGGTGGTGGTCTTAGAGAAGGGAAGCATGGGTTGAGAAGATATCTCAGAATGTATAATTGCATAATTTGTGGAGGAAAGAATGTGAGCAATCACTTAGTGCTGGGGATAAGCTTAAAATTTATAATTGGCATTTAGTAGAGTGACCTGATAGGAACAAAGGTATGCTCCAAAGCAAATTATTGAAAAAAGTGTGTGTGTTACACTGTAAATCCTAATGGTGTAAAGTTTGTTTGCCAATCTCATTACTGCGAATTTTATCATATGGTAAAAGTATTAAGGACTTCAGAGAAACTGTAGGGTTCTTTTTAGTGCAGAAATGTCATTATTATATTAATCATGGGTGGAGCCGTGGAACATCCTTTCCTGCTTATTCCCTCAGTCACCTATAAGCTGTTTAGTACTCTTTGGTGGACTTAGCTTATTTTCTCTATTTTGGATTTTTAGGGTACAATAACAAAAATTTACTTGAACTAGCCTAAGTAAATAAGAGGAATTTATTATAAGGACATTGGTATATCTCTTGTAACCTAAAGGCAGATACTTCAGCTAGGCCTTACTAGGGACTAGAACCAGGACTCAAACGCTATTAGGAATTGGGATTGTGGAAATGGTCTCTTTGAAGACATATGATCTTATAACTCTACTTTTCTGTGGATTTATGCTTCATTCTTTGTACTGATGAATTTTCTGTTTACACAGGGGAAATATGACTTTATAGAACTTGTCTTATATCATTATAAAATATAAGAACCCAGTGGAGACTTACTAGAGTCTAAAGTTTTAGGAGGAAGTCTCTTATTGGACATCTTGGCTTGAGCCAGATGTGTCTCCAACTGTGACCATGGAGATTTGTATTAACATAGTATAGTCTAAGGGAGCCTGGGTGGATTGGCAGTTATTAAAGCTGCACAGCTTGGGCTGAGGAAAGAGTTCAAAAAGTGTCAACTACAATCACAAGCTCTTTTAACTTAATCTAGTCCCTATTCATTGCTCCTTGTATGTATTTCATCTTCTATTCCAGGTTGCAAGGTCATATTTATAAACAGTCAAAGCTTTTTATAATCACTATTGTCAGTTTTCTTTTCCTATTTTTACTACAGCACTTTCCCCCTCAAGTCCAAGAGGACAGGGACATTTGTGCTTGATATTTCATTCACTGTGGGATGCTAGGCTTGACTACAGATTCAACCGTACAATAGGGCATTTCTTTATAACTTGTATTCTAAAATATGAGAGTGCAAAGATTCACAAGAATGTCTCATTGAATTCCATTTTAGAAGTCCAGCAAGATGATGACCAGCTACAGAATTACCAGGAATCTCAAAACCATCTCCTTAGGGAAGTTGCATTCAAGAAAAAAACTCTGACTAAGAAGAAAGACCATGAATGTAGTTCCTTAGGGGGGAAAAAGGTGAGTACAAAACATGTTTCTTCCAAAAAAAAGTTTCTTAAGTTTAATTCACAGGATAAGAGTTTGGAACAGAATTTAGACTTACCCGGTCATATAAGAAACTATGCAAAAAGGGAACCTGGTGTAGCTGAAGAGCACAGGAAATCACTCAGCCATAGCTTATCTGATACAAAGAAAGATAAAAATCAAACTGGAAAGAAACAAAAAGTATCCAACCACAGGTCATCTAGTAGGTGTGACAAAACTCAAACTGGCAAGAAACATGAGAAATTAGTTAATCATGGATCATCCCATACTAAATGGGACAAAATTAAAACTGGAAAGAAACATGAGAAATCATCCAAACATAGCTCTTCTCCTACTAAGTGTGATACAACTCAAGCTAAAATGAAACCATATGAATGTAATGAATGTGGGAAGGTTCTCAGCCATAAACAAGGACTCATTGACCATCAGAGAATTCATACTGGGGAGAAACCATATGAATGTAATGAATGTGGGATAGCCTTTAGCCAAAAGTCACACCTTGTTGTACATCAGAGAACTCACACTGGAGAAAAACCATATGAATGTATTCAGTGTGGCAAAGCCCATGGTCATAAACATGCTCTCACCGACCATCTAAGAGTTCATACTGGGGAAAAGCCCTATGAATGTACTGAATGTGGGAAAACCTTCAGACACAGCTCAAATCTTATTCAACATGTGAGATCTCATACAGGTGAAAAGCCCTATGAATGTAAGGAATGTGGTAAATCCTTTAGGTATAACTCATCTCTTACGGAACATGTGAGAACTCATACAGGTGAAATACCGTATGAATGTAATGAATGCGGAAGAGCCTTTAAATATAGCTCATCCCTTACTAAACACATGAGAATTCATACAGGTGAGAAACCCTTTGAATGTAATGAATGTGGGAAAGCTTTCAGCAAGAAGTCACACCTCATTATACATCAAAGAACTCATACTAAAGAGAAACCCTATAAATGTAATGAATGTGGAAAAGCCTTTGGACATAGCTCATCTCTTACTTACCACATGAGAACTCATACGGGTGAAAGTCCCTTTGAATGTAATCAATGTGGGAAGGCCTTTAAACAAATCGAAGGCCTCACTCAGCATCAGAGAGTTCATAGTGGAGAGAAACCATATGAATGTAATGAATGTGGGAAAGCCTTTAGCCAAAAGTCACACCTCATTGTACATCAGAGAACTCACACTGGGGAGAAACCCTATGAATGTAACGAATGTGGAAAAGCCTTTAATGCAAAGTCACAACTTGTTATACATCAGAGATCCCACACTGGAGAGAAACCTTATGAATGTAACAAATGTGGGAAAGCCTTCAAACAAAATGCATCCCTTACCAAACATGTGAAAACTCATTCAGAAGAGAAATCTCATGAGTGAAATAAATGTGGGAAATCTTTTAACTTAACTAAAGGTTTTATTTAACCTTAGAAATATTCTACATTCAAAGGATGTTAGAAAGCCTTTAACAAGAAATCACACTTCATTATACATGAAAGAATTTGAAAATGAATCTTCACATAGAAGCAATGGATGGAGAGTTTAAATTTGATACTAAACCTTTTAAAGAAAATATTGTTTTAAAAATAGTCAATTATTGTAAATGATTCTATATGTTCAGATTGAAATATAAAGTGTTTTAAGTTGTTAATAACTTGAAAAATCACAGCACTAGAAACATTACATATGCTGACAATTCCTGAGTTGCTTGAGTGTTGAGTACTTAAGCACCACATGGGAGAATTGAATTTGCCTACCTGTTAATTGCCATGTATAAGTATGTGTGGTTATTGGTATGAGCCTCATCTTTTGATATTATCACTTAGCTCTTTCTTAATGTCTTTGTTACCTTCCGCATCAGCAGAAAACTTTATAAAAAGATTTATGTTAAAAATATTAACACAAAATTAAGAGAAAATGAAAGAAAGCAGCTGAGGATACACAGGTGCTGGTAAAAAATGATGCTCAAGATATACTGTTAAGTGAAAAAAAGGTTCCTGAACTGTGCACATAGTATGTCCCCACTTGTGTACAAAAGGGTGTATGTGTTGCCTGTGTGTTTGTGTGTGTGTGTATATATGTATGTATATGTTCATATATTTGTATGTGTATAGACTTGGTTTGAAAAAATAAAGAATAAACTTAATAGTGGTTTCCAATGGGCACAGGAGTACAGGAATGGGGGAGACCTGTTTTTTTTATTGCATAGTGTTTGAACTTTTTTGTCATGTACATGGATTATTTCCACAATTAAAATCCTTTTAAAATGCATAAATTAACACTAATTAAAATTTTCACTGAGCCCACTCCCTGATGTTGTTTGACAAAGTAAAATAAAAGCTTCTGTGCCTATTCATGAATGATGATGAATCTGAGGATATGGTATTAATCTTGATATTGAATTCACAAAGACTTTTCCTATTAAACATGTTCTTTCATTAAAATAACAAATTACAACTGTAACTCAGCATTGTGTTTCTTCTATTTGCCATTTTTTTAAAAGACTGAACATGAATTGTGATTGCAGGTGAATGAAAGTGATTTTCTGATTAAACACTCCATTTTTTTTTTCATATTCAAAATACTTAAACACGAACACTTCAATCTGGGGTTTCAAATATATTGCAACAAATGGCACAACTCTCTGTTCTTGCCCAATAGCAGACATTGTTAATGAATCACAGCATTCTGAGTGAATCTAGACTTGGCCTCAGAATCGTTGTTAAGCATGCATTCCAGAAGGCACTATGGATTTGCACAGGAAACTTATTTTCCACTGCATACCTACATTATTTATTTTTTTTACTTAGTGATACATAAAAAATACAGCTGAACTGTTGTAAAATTTACTTGTTACACTAAAAACAGTAACATAAGGACAAAATTCATTTTGTAATATAAAGTAATATTTGGCATATATGTCACCTTTTATATTTTTCACAGCACACTCACATTACCTCATTTGTTCCTCAGAATGAACATATGAGTCATTAAGCAAGACTTGTCCCATCATAGTCAATACTATATACATTTCACCTAGATACTAGTCTAGCATAATGATGGACCCTCAACAAATATGTGATTAAATGCCATCTTTGCAAATATTTCCCATTCAAGTGCCTGCCTTCCTGATGTCCTTATTTCAGAGGATTAAAAGGTATAAATATTGAGAATAGAGTGTGTGTGTGTGTGTGTGTGTGTGTGTGTGTGTGTTGAAAAATCAGCTCATGTATATTAGCCCTCAATACTAGTAATTTATTTACTTTCAGGGGAAGAAAATGCAATGTAAAAACCATTTTCATCAGTAATTTATTACCAAGTGGAAGCCTAGCACTATGCCCAGGATGGATCATCACTGTCTAAAGCTATAGAAAATCTGCACTTTCAAGAAGGATAAAACAATTGCAGGTTATGGCTAGATTAAATTTCCACACTTCTTGGAGAACTCATAGTAGTGCCACACCCGAAACAGTCAGGAATATAGTTATGCCTGAACAATAGAAATGAATGCTGAAAGTTATTCTGTGCAGTAAAAAAGATGAATTAAAAGTTAGCATCAATGAATGAGGAAATGAAGTCTAAAGATAATCGGAGGTGAACAATGAAAGAAAATCGACACACTGAGGTGAGTCTTAATTATATACAAATTTTAGCGTGCATCAAAATTGCCTGGAGGGCTTGTTAAAACATGGACTTTAGAAATGGGTTCCACCCACAGAGTTTCTGATTTAGTAAGTCTGTGGTTGGGCCTAAGAATTTTCACTTTTAATAAGTTCCCAGGGGATGCTGATGATGCTGTTCTAGGGAATACACTGAGAATCACTGATCTAAATCATTGTTTAAGTCAATTTTTAAAATATTTAAAAATGTTTCTGAGATGTATCTATAATATAAAGAAGATGAAAGGGCATATATATCTATAGAGCAAATTATTAACAGTCTAAAAAAATTTATTCAGTATTGATCATCTAATATATGCAAGGCACTACTCTAAATTCTAGGAATATAGCAGTCAACAAAACAAGAAAAAAACCAACAACATAAAAACCCTGTGTCCTCGACTCTGTAAACAGCTTGATTCTGGAGTGGAAGACAGGCAATAAACAAATAAATAATTTAAAATATAGAGTATGACAGATGGTGACTACTGCAACAAAAAACAGCAGGAAAGGGGGATGAAAGTGTAGGGGAATTCAATTTTAAATGTGGCGGTAGTGGTGGTGGTGGAGTAAGCTCAAGCTCACTTAGATGGTAACACAAACAAAGACTTTAAGAGGGAAGGGAGCAAGTCATATATATATTTATATATGATTGAAGAGCATTAAAGGCATACATCTGAGGTATGGGAAAAGAGAGAAAGACACGGAGCTCTGACATAAAGAGGAAAAAAATAGGAAAAATTTTTATGAAATCAAAATTTAAAAAATAAGTGTGCAAGAGAGGTAGAAAACAAGATCTCTCAGGCACTACTTTTGGTAGTCAAGGTTATACAACTCTTAAAATGTAAATCTGACTATATACATCAAAGCCTTAAAATGTCTGGCAACCATGCTTCCAGGAATTGTTTCTATGACATAATCAGAGTGTACTGTAATATTTGTCACAGAACACAGAGAAGTTGGATATAACATGAATTGCTAGTCAACTGATTAAATAAAGTATGATACCCTCATAAGATTGAATAATATAACATTTAAAGCCATGTTTTTCAGTTATATTTAAGGAGATGCAAATGCTGATCCTATGTTATTCTCAGGAATGTGTGAGACTGATTCACCTCCAGGCATCAATGGAGTGATCTAATAATGAAGAAAGCAAAGGTTTTCCACGAGGTCTCTCTGCTACCAGACTTTTGCTAACATTTTATTGACCAAAAACGAGAACCATGAGTATTACTAGTTTCAAGAGAATCTTGAAAACAGAGAATCTTTAGCTTCTTAAACTTTATAGTAAAGGAAGGAAAAGGACAAAGACATTAGAAAATGGCTGTTGAGCACATCAATTTATAGTACTTGAAATAATTAAAAAACATCAAGTTACAAAATAATATGTACATTAAGATCTTAATTTT